TGGTATGGGGGGGGGGCCACCACATTGGAACAAAGAACCAGAATTTTCGGGAGGAATGAGGGCCAAGAAATCAGGATTTTAGAAAAGATTCCAGGTGATTCTAAATGTGCAGCCAAGGTTTGAGACCCCCTGCCTCTACCAGGAAGGAGAGAGGGGTATCTTTTCAAAGTCCTCCAAGAGTTAAGGATGAGATTTTGCAGGAAAGGACAAGGCCCAAGAAATGGGAAAACCTTTACGGGCTCCTAAAACCTGGAGGAGAGTGGGAACCCAGACAGGTGACACTGGTCTGAGGAGCCCCCCAGCGTTATTCCTTAGTCACCACATCCCTGGACTCTGTGGAAAAATGGCCTCAGGTTGACTAAGAGGACTTGGGGTCTCAAGTAGAGAGAGTCTGGACCCTTCCTCTTCTCTCGTGGGCAAAGTGAGACCAAGAAAAAGCAACTCCTTCTTCACACCCAACCCGCCGTGGTCCAGACACCCGAAGAAGCCTGCTCTGTTGGCTTCTCAGCACCACAGTCTTGGAAGCTCGATCTCCATGCAACACAGAGACATTAATTATCTAGTTCCTGTGAGCTACTTTATCAAAGCCATCGTGCTGTCTGAAACCATAGCCTGTGGACAGGAGAAGGGTGCTCATCGTCAAACATAATCATTTTTCAAGAGTCCCAGCAGTGCGCTTACCCCATTTCCGAGCAAAGATTTAATAGTGGAGCAACTAGCATGAGGCCTTGTATTTCAAAGACTTTACAAGTATGGCTGCTGTGTATTTTATTGGCATGCAAGGAGGCCCTGTCACCAGCTCACTTGTCAAAAGTAAATGCATAGAGCACATGGGTGATGCATTTATTCATTATCCGTGTGACACGTGACTGAGTCAGCAGGGCTGGGAAGTGATAAAAGGTCTGGTGTTCACTTCAAAGAAGTGCCTTCTCCACTACAAGCTTGTCAGCTGCCGGCTGCCCCAGGTGAATAGGACTCATGTCAGGTGAGAGACCAAGAAAGAGATTTCACTGATGGCCCCACTGGGCATGCTCCATGGGGGGAGGGCAGAAGGTAGGCGGCTCTATTTATCTTCCAGATGTTTCCTTTGTGCTGCCTGCTTTAGGCCACCCCCATCCCAGCTCCGCGGAATCTCATGGCTCTTGCTAGTGGGAATGAATTATGATTAGGGGACTTGAGTTTCCTCCTCCTCAACTCTGGGCCCTGGAAATAGCCAGAGAATTGGATTTAACGGTTTGGCCACCGATACAACATTGCCTCAAACCTCACTGCCTTAAAGGTCAATTAGATTGGAGCACTATTGGAGAAGGTCAAGGGATGGGAAAGCAACACAATTTAGAGATGTTAGCTAGAGGAAGGTGAGGCCATATAGAGAGAACAAGATGGTGACGACTAAAGAACTGAAAAGCTCAGAGAGAAAGACCAAGAAGAAGAGCGATCGATTGCTAACGAAACAAGAAGGTAAGGGAGGTGGAGCATGGGTTGTTCTGCTGGTGCCTAGAATGTGAGAATTAGGGAGAATCCCTTGAAATCTGAAGGAGACGATACAGAGTCCCATCTTAGCCTGAAAAAAGTAAGCGTTTGGTCCTAAGATGAAAGACATGATTAGGATGAGAATTTATTTTACAAATCGTGGACATCAGAGTCCTTCTGCTGCATTAAGGGGAGTGAGGGCGCTTGAGGGCTGTCCCCAGGCTCTAAGGATAAGATCGGGGGCATGGCCAGGCCCTCCGCAGAGTCCCTGGCAGTTAGAAGTCGGGGAGTAGGAGTCCCGTGTGGCAGCAAGGCCCATCCTTCCAGAGGCAAAGGGTCTGCTGGACAGAGAGACCCACTCCCCTTCCTCATCCTTGTGTATCGATTCTGTGAACCCAAAGCTTTCAAGTGGGACGGGAAGCCCCACTTTAATGCAAAAGACACCTCACCGTGGGGGTCCCAAAGAGTATCCATCACCAAACGCTGGTGGCAGCTTCTAACAGCCTAGCAGGTGTCTCCTCAGCCAACTATTTCCTAAAGTGCATGTTGTTTAAATTCTGGGTCCTGCACTTTTAAAGCGAGTCAGCGTTTTCAAGGTCTGGGGGGCATGTCAGCTACGAACCACTTGCCTCCCCTTACAGTTCACATCGCTCCATGTAATTAAAGAAAACACACGTGGACCAGGCCTCCAGCTCACGGCCAAGAGAAGTGGGCAAGGTGGGAGGCAGGCCTCAGAGGGGAAGGGAATTGCCCAGAAAACGGCTGCTGGGAAGGTTCTGGGCGCTTCCCGCCAGCCCTCCGGCTGCATCACATGACTTTACAGCCGCCCGAGGGCTCTGCAAGTGAGAGGCCCTCCCCTCCGTGGTAAGGAGAGTGTTGACGCTCAGTTCTTAGAAATATTGCCGGATTCCCAAGGGGTCCCCTCGTGTGGGAAGAACAGAGCTGCCAGCCTGGTTCTGTGATGCGGGAACAGCACATATCCGGGCCCAGCAGGCCAGCCTGGGATCGATTCTTACAGGGGCCCCTGGAGAGGCTGTGGTTCCCCCCAACCCCGCCCCCCCATATGCGCCTGTGGAGGCACTGGGAGTGTGAGTGGGAAGAGCAGAGCACCTTGGGGGCAATACCGTTTCCTGGAAGCTCTGACTTTTTAGAAGAGAGTGTAAGTGAGACCTGGGGGTAGAGGGGCCAGGGAGGAGCAGGGCTCTGGGAACAGCTCCCTGGCATGGCCAGCCACTGCCCGCTCCTCGGCCCTCCGTGCTGCATGGCTGGCTGTGACATGGCCAGGGCAGGGAGCCTTCTCAGGACAGCTGTCCAGTGTCAGGCCCCTGTCCTTCCCCACACTCTCTCCCTCCTGGAGCGCTCAGCCCTCAGCTGACTGCCTGGCATATGGCTGGAGGGACCCCTGCCATTTAGGACCCGGGGATCCTGCCCGAGGAGCGTGGCCCTCTGTTAAAGGACAGGGATCTGAGGCTAGGGCGTGGGGTACCCTGTGCCACTCGGCTACCAGGCTGACAACCCAGCTGTGTGTGTTTTCAAAGTGGAAACGAAGGGCGGTGCTGGCCACCACATCCCAGACCCCTCCTGTCTGGGAAGCCTGCGGGCAGAGGAACGGGAGCGTGGACAACGGGCAGTACCGGATTCATGTGTCTTAGTCCCGGTGGTGGGAGGACTCTCCATGGTGGCGGCGGCAGTGGTGGTGGTAGTTGTGGCGACGGTGGTGGCGATGGTGGTAGGTGCGACAGTTGGGATGATGGGGACTGTTGTGGCTTCGGTGGCGGCGGCAGCAGTGGCAGTAGCATCGGTACTGCTCACGGCGCCCGTGGCACCCACCGTGGTCGGGGGCCACGTGGGAGGAGCTGAGAGGAAAATGTAAAACAGCCGAGTCTGGTTGGTTTGGCTGTCGCCGCCTGGACACACGGCCCCCGCGTGCAAGGCAGGCAGCCCCGCGACAGGACGGAGCGCGGGGATCAGCGGCCTCCCCACGCGTGCGGACGGACTGGGTCACGCGGGTCCCCGGGAGCGGACACAGCCATGTGACAGGAAGAGAATGAAGCCCTGTGTGCATTTCATTTTCTTCTCATGGTCTGTGTGGCTCAAAGCATCCAGCATGCATCCAGCCCAGGGCAGGGGAGAGGATGGGAAGGGACATGGACGCGTCGCTCAGACCTCAAGGACGACGGCATGAGGTCCCAGGCCAGCGCCACCCATAACAGGCCAAGCAGCACCATGTCGACCCAGACCCGGAGCCTGGCCTTGGAGGGGGGCAGACGGCTGGTTCCTGCCCTACAGGAGCACCGGGAAGCCTGCCATTCCCAACCACTCACCCCAAATTACCTGTCCCCCCCCCGGCCCCCGCCGCCTGCTGAGTTCTAATGCCAGAGGATACACTCCCCTCCACGAAGCCGGCCCGGGCCTCTTTCTGTCTCCGCTGTTGACCCTCCCGGCCTCGCCTCCCTTCTCCGCCAGTGGCCGTCCCCCCCGCAGCTACCCCATCCACCCTGGACTGCAGTGACTACCTTTCTCTCCAGGACATTTGGGGTCCAGGCACCCCAAGTCCTTTCCCTTTGCATTAGAACAAGGGAAAGGGCATGGATGGAAGCCTCCTCCCAGCCCACAGCAGACACAAATGGAATCGCAAGCCAGACACATGCTGTGTCTTCTTTTTTGCACAAACCGTCAGGGGCTTTGCATCTGTGCGCACGCATGCTCTCATCTTCCACCCAAAGCTAACCTTCCCCGGAGGTCAGCCCTCGGGGCTCAGTCCGTGTGTGGCCACATTTCCAAAAGCCCTCTCCCTCTACGAAGGGTCCTGGAAGCTAACAGGTCGAAGGGTCCTGGAAGCTAACAGGACTGCCCTTTAGATCCCATCCTGCTATGGCCTGAGGGCCTGAGGAGACGGATGGGGCAAGTCAGACACAGAGCCGCCCTCCCTCTCTGTGGTCTGATCACAGTCCACCTGCTGGTGTGGATGCTAATGGGGCAGGAGGCCGGATGTTAAGACATTCGTAGGCAGCTCTAACCCCCAAAGAACAGAGGTCCTGCCACAAATCTCCACACTATCCCCCCCACACCCCCCGTAAAAGGGGGCCAGGCCAGGGAGGGAGCCAGAAAGAAAACGGCCAGAGTGCTTTTCTCAGGGGAGGATGGAGATCCTGAGCGTTCTCAGCAAGAGCCCGGCCAACAAGAGCCCTTTCATGCCTGGGCCTCCGATAGGACAAGTGCCCCACAGAGCGGGGACTGTTCCTGGGATCCCTGGTCACTTCCCTACTTGTAGGATCAGAGGCATTGCTGGGCCCTGAGGGCACTGACCACAGAAGCCACACTGGGCAGCTGACTCTCACACATTCCGGGGATTCCTGGGCAGAGGCCAGGCTGACGGTGGGAGGTCCCTCAGGCCCCACTCAACCCACAGACATCAGGAAGGTGTGTGTGGGGGGTGGAGGGGGGTAATCCCCCTCTCACAGACATTATTCAAGGATATATTCAGTCCCAGGCCTGGATGGCTCAGTGCTATAAAAGCTCAGCATAAGGGATTTCATCTACCCCACCCACCAAGACAGACAGACAGACACATCCATGGGAGAGCCCGAGACCCAGCAGGCAAAGGTCGACTCTCTCCCAGGCCGGGTCCTGGCGGCGCCCACGGCCATGGAAGCCCATGGGCCATGGACACAA